GTGTCGGTGCTGAGGGATCGGACGGTGGACTTGGTTTCCTGCATCAGCTTAAGGTGGGTAATGGCCCCAGTGTCCATAGGGGTTGTTTGTTGAGGTTTCCCGACCTCTATTTCCTTGCTGCGTCTTCCGAAAAGAAAATGAGAAGAGTCCCGGGGGCCACTTGGTCTCAGACCCATTCTCCCGGGGCTAAGGACCCACTCTGGGCATTTCGCAGCCAAAGGCTGCGTCTTACCCTGTTGCACTTCGCCGTGTAGCGGGGCGTCCTTTTGTGGAAATGTTAGGACTCTCGGGGTTTATGGGGCGTCAACAAGGTGCACGGTTGGGGGCAGGGGACAGACCGGTAGCCCAAACGATCGGCTCCGGGCTCAGAGGTTGGAGCGCAGGCGACCAACGGCAGGTTGCATAAGTCGTTGTTTGGCCGTAGCCCGGCTTTTTGGGTGGACTTTTTTTTTTTTTTCCCGTTTCAGCCTTCGTTTTTGAGTGGGTGTTTTTTTGGGGGGGGTTGTTGGGTCTAATAAATGACGGGAGGGACGGCCAAACGCCCTCGCTCCACCACTCACCAACTGTGCAAAATGTGAATGAAGGAATCTTCCCGCTAGAACAAGGAAGTATACACCGCCATAGTTTTTGTCTTTTGTGCATGTGCTGAGTAGTGCAGCGAGGCCCAAAGGTAAGGTTCAGGGCATAGGGCCTCGGCGCACAACTGTCGAAAATGCGATTTTCAACAGTTCCTCTTCGCCACACAGGCTGTCGAAGTCCGAGACGAGAAGAAAATTTGCAAGTTGTCAAAGAATGCTTCTCGACACCTCCTGTCGAAAGTCGTTGAATCCCCAGCCTGCTACTCCGATGCTTTCGACACTCCTCGGCTGCGCCGTCGACTTCGCTTTGAAATTTGCTGAGTGGGGGCAAGGTCGGGATGGACTGATGCTTGTCGTACCCTCGGGCACGTTCGTCTTTTTCCATCTTGCTTTCACAAGTGCCTGCACTCTACTGTGCTGTGTGGCGAAAGGGGGGCAAACTGTGGAATGGAGGCTGTCGTATTTGTTCTGACAGCCGTCGATTTTTTTGGCCTTTCGACTGTGGTGTGGTGAGGCCCATAGTCTCACCATTCTCGAAATTTGCGAGATGGGAATGAACTTCCCACTAGAACATGGCCAGACGCACCCACCACATTTTTTGTCTTTTTGTTTCGAGAGTGGTGTGGCGAGGCCCATAGTCCACGGCGATGGTGCTGGAGGCGGAAGGAGTGAGAAAAGTGCCACCTCGCCTGTACCGCTCCTCGCTCCCGATTGGCTGTGTGACACGCAACCTCACGCCCTATGCTGTCTTCCGTTCGGAGTGTTAAGGGTGCGGAAAGAAGGCCCAGAAAAACAGCAAGATGGGGTGTGCCAAGGATTTTTGGAAAATTGAGTGTGGGGACACAGACAAAACTGAAATCCCTCGTGTTGGCCCGATGAAGTAAGTCGGTTGCTTTCGCGCATCGCAGAATGCGCACGCGGGCTCGGCGCGAAAAGAGAAAAATCCAAATTCAATCCAAAAAGTATTGTCGAGCTTCCCACCGCGCTGTGGATCTTTGTTTAGAGCGGAAGGGCTTCGGTACGCTCCGCGTGTCCCGTTTCCGTATCAAGTCCTCACGTCGCTCGTTGGTCAGTTCCGAGTCTAACGTTGAGGGTCTCTGCCGCATGGCTCTTTCCTTGTGCTCGTCTTCACTCCGTATCCGGTAGTGGAATTCCTTTGATTCGTAGCGATCGAAACGCTGGCACTAAGTGCACAGGGTTTGAGGCCAATGGGGCGCCACTGCCGTCCACTGAATGACGATCAGCTCGTTAAATGGCAACAACACTGAGTAAGGTGGGAAGTGCATATCGATAATGACAAAGCCAACATCCACGAATCCAGAACAACGGTTTTCGGGAGGGAAGTAATATCGTCCGCCGATTCGTGCGACAGCTTCTCGTACGTCCCACTCGCAAACACGTGTCCTTTCCTCGTTGTAAGGGAAGGGGCGCGTTGGTGAGAGAGATACGGGAGGCTAACGCCCGATCGAGGTACGGTCGTCAGTCTACATATCAATCAATCAAAATGAGCTTGTAAAAACCCTGAGACGTCATCAAAAAGCACAATCGAAAAAGAACTAACTAGTATTTTCCTTCCCTTCAACACGGGAGAACTATGCTACGGAGTTCGTACGACCATGCAATAATCGAGTTGAGGTTTCGAGAGATCAACCCGCGACTCAATTTCAGCAGACCAGATTTGACAAAACCCGAGGCGCCTGGCTTTTTCGAGGCTGCCCCGTAGACTGTCTGCGGACGTCGTGCAGTATAAGGCAGATGACATGCGCCGTGCATTCCGAACAACAGATCTAAATACTCTTACATTCTCGAACAAAATCCCGTTGAGCTCTGGGTTTAATCAACGCAAAAATACAAGCATCTCTATACATACATCCACTGTGGAAGGTGCGAAAAATGACAATGGGGCATCGAAAACAAATCGGGGGATTGTACACATGCATCCACTGTTCACAAGACAAGGGGATTGAACTTCCTTGCATCTGGGGAGTACCCAGGAAACAAATGGAACAGTTCCGGAAGAAGTTTTTCTTCGCAGGAAATCACAAGAGTTCAGTCTAGTTCACAGGGGAGACAAACTCATAACACATTGTCATTCACATCAGAGAGAGAGATGGGAGAGATAACGAGAAATGTCGAGACAGGAGATCTCAAAAATCTGATAGAGAAACATTCGACTTCGCAGCCATGAACTCACATCAAAGAAATGATCCGCAACCATGAAGGCACATTCATCGTGAAAACCCAATATGGCCCCGGGCCAATCATCCACTCAACTCTAATTACTGATCCTCATACCCGCACCGACGATCCCGGTCGTCACGTGCTAACTTCCGCCATTGCAATCGTCACCCCGCTGACGCAAACTCGCCTCGCCTCGCCCGGATCCCACAGTTCGTCATGGCGATCAAGCGCGCAACCGGCCAGCGTACAGTCAGCCCGACATGACTTTTCGACTCGCACCAAACGCATCACCTAGCCACTGCTTCCCGGAAACTGGTTTGTGAGTGGAAAACGTAAGAGAGATTTTCGGACACGCTTGCGGAATTTATAGTTGCGAAAAGGACGACAGACGGGGGAGAAGACAAAGGGGAAATCAAGGTGTAAGAGGAGAAGATTCAGCGAGGGATGCTCAAGGGAAGCTATGTTGATCCTTCGGAACTCAGTGTTCAGCCAATCAGATTCGTCGCGCAACAGGAAGATCCTCTTGCTCAACGCGTCTGATTGGTGAGCGAGGGTAATCGGAGGATCAACCGGGCTTCGTGAGCCAAGGTTGAAGAGCGAGAAGGAAAGAGGCGCGAAAAGCAGCGCGAGACGGGTCCAAGATTCAGATGATCAAGAAGGGAAAATAGGCCCGGAAAAAGCAGAGAGAGGGAGGGAAAAACAGTTGCGATAGGAAAAGAAGAGGAGGGAGAAGGGAGAGAGAGAAGAGAGCGTGAGGGAAGAATGACGCGGGAAATAAGGAGGAGGAAGCTCGCATGAGTGGTGCCGACAACAAGAGAAAAAGGCACCAAAACAGTTACAGCTTACCTATGGCCTAAACAATTCAAAAATTGAAATCACCATATCCGCGCGCGAAAAGTCGACGCGGGAAAAGAAAGTCTTATGCCTATCCGTATTCTCTCAAAATTCCTAGAGTTTTCCTCGTCGTGACTGAGAACATTCATGCAAAGAAAAAGGACACGTCGGGTTCCGCTTATTCCGGAATTCCTAACCGTCGAGCCCGATTCGCAGCACGCTCGCTAAGGCGCGCGTAATTTCCCATGCATTTCCTGAATTACAAAAAGCGGAATTCCAAGAATCAATGGAACCTCCGAAAAATGGGGGCCTAAACCAGGCACCTGAAATCAAGAAAAAACGACGAGGGTTTTGTTGGGTTGGTATGATACATAAAAGGGGAGTTGAGTCAAGGGGTACGAAAGATAGCATGGGGTCGGGAAGTGGTCCGTCACATATGTGACGCGCAGGGGGTTCCAAAACTATGCAATCTCCTGATTGCATGAAAAACCTTGAACAGAGGAAGTGGGAGGAGACGAAGAAGCAGGAAGAAGTAGGAGGAGACAAAGAAGCAGGAAGAAGTAGAAGGATTAGATTAGCACAATCTATGTCGGCAGAGAAAACTGAGCCGGGGTATGATTTGGCGACAACATCCGTGGCAAGATCTTCGTGATGCATGCCGGCTCATGATGTCTCGGATCCCCATCCTCTGCGGTTCTGTCATATGCAACCCCCTGCCTTTTAAACTTCGGAGATCGTCCAGGTGGCACCATCATGGTCCATCAGGTCTCCGTGTGCTCTGCACCCCAAGTCCATCACAATCCGTCGAATGAGAGCATGAGTTGACATCATCGTCAATGGTGTGATCTTCATGAAACTGCTGATTCGTGTAACTCGGAGGACACGTGTCGATTTCTCCAGTCGATCGCCACGCTTTGAACGGTTATTGACAAGGAGAGGGTCGGAAGGGCCGCCGTCGTGACACGGAGCGGGTATCAGCGCCGCGTGGGAATGGGAAAGTAGACATTATACATCGAGGGGTGTCGACGGGGAGGGTTGGGGGAAAGTGGGGGTAAGTAGCGGTTCATCCCTTTCTCTGTGATTGGAAGGTCCTCGTAGCGGATAATCTGGTGAAAGCGGGGTAATCGGTCGCCGCTGTGAGGGAGAGAAGCGAGGTAGTCAGGGTAGAGGGTGGAGAAAGTGCGGAAGAGTGTCGCGTGAAACAGCTCGTGATGGTGACATGCGGGGCTGGTTCCTGTAATTACGCAGTAGACTTCTACTGCGTTGCTCTGCTCCCACGCGTCGCTAAACAGAAGGACGTGCAAACAGAACGTGGGGTTTGCGCATTGAAGGGAAGGATGGGGATGGACGGTGACGGCGAGGCAGATGGAGTAAAAGTGACGGGAGGTATTGGGAGGGAAGGGGTTGCGAGTGAAGGTGACGGGGGTAGAGATCTGACAGAGGGTGAGGTAATCAAGGGGACGGCGAGATAATGACCGGGGACGAAGGCCGATCCCCCGCATCGGTACGTGGACGGACTGGGGGACGGGCGGAGGTGGAGGGGGAGGGGGATCGGCTTCGTCTCCGTGGCAATGCGCTCGGAGCCGCGGCTGTTGGGTCGCCATCTTTGGGTTTGGGGGGCTCTGGATCCTTGGTCGGGTCGTCGTTGATGCGCAGGTTCGCCTCGCTGGCGAACTCCTGCTGGCTTTTTCCGGCGGCGATCTCTTCCCTCTTTCGTGCCGCCTCGAGATCTTCCACCTCCGTGCTTGTGGGCGCCGCTTCCTCCAGCAAGGCCTCCCACTCTAATACGGCTTCCTCCTCTTCGTCTTCGTCTTCTTCTTCTTCTTCTTCTTCTTCTTCTTCTTCTTCTTCTTCTTCTTCTTCTTCTTCACTCTGCTCCCCTTCGCTTTGCTCGCTATAACTCCCTTCCTCCGACGTTTCCTCTTCGGCGCCGTCCTCTTCTTCAGTGACTTCTTCTTCTCCTGCCTCCTCGGATGTATCTTGCTTCGGAGAGAAGGTGAGATTGATGATTCCGGCCGACTTCAAGTACTCTTGCCGCGATGGCAGGGCGCTTTCACTCCCCGGTTCCTCCAAGCACGCAGTCCATTGAAGATACGGTGCCAATGTTCGCGTAACGACGTGCGGAGCCGGACTCTCGTCACTCTGCAAAACAATATCGAGAGAGAGGTCATCGACCAATTGCGCGAGCGGGACGACAAGTTCCTGGACAATCAGCTGGCGATGGGCTGGCCGCACCGATCCGCAAAGAAAACTGAGAAATCACCCTTCACGTCAGTTCTCCAAGCCTGGATGATCAGCAGCTCCAGGTACTCAATACACGCCTGATGCTCTTCGATCCTCGTCCATGTCACCTCCACTCGGGCCAAGCACACAGACAAATCGACAAAGGTCTCGCGCCACATCCTCCAATGCCTGGGATCGAAGAGCGGGACTGCAAGGGGCTCGAGCAAGAAGGAAAGGCGCGGATGAAGATCGGATTGCCAGAAGGTGGGAAAAAGAGAGGGAAGACCAAAGGTGGAGAGAGGAGTGAGAGGAGCGGCACGGTTCATTGGGGGCGTTGGAAGGGGATGAGTGTGGGGAGCACCACCGCCGGCTGACGCGTAGAGGAGCGGAGCTCGTCGAAGTCTGTCCCGTATGTTGGGACGAGATTGCACCCAGGGCGCGCAAGACCGTGTTGCTTCTCAGTCGATAACTGTTGTGTCCACTCCCGTAATGAGGTCAGGATCACAGTATGCCGGAGCGGGTTGACATCTCTGATATCGCCCATGAAGGCAGCGACCGTGGTGACGTGGCTCGTTCCTGGAGCCGCCCGTCGATGAAATGTTACTACCTCCGCCAATACTACTGCCTGTGGACTACCGACGAATCGGAACGCAGCGGCGGCATACACATCCTCGATGCAGAAGAACTGCGCCAGTCGTCGAAGATCAGGACTGAGCCGCGGATGACGAACTTGCCGGATCTCCGAGATGTAACCACGTGGCTGCAGCAGATGATTGCCAAGAGCTTGCTCCGTAATGAAACTCATGGCGAGGACGGGGAAGAAGATCAGGAATGAGAACAAGAGGGAGAGAACGAGGCGGGAGCTAGATCATCGCCGTCCTCGTCTTCAACAGATGAAGGAGACGGGGGGAGATCGGAAGGAGGGAGGGGACGGATGTAAGAAGTATGGCGGACGATGGGGACAAAGCTATGGTTGGCGCTGGCTTCGGGCGCGATGCGCACCATGTTGGCACCGTTAGGTCCGAGCTCGACAACGCGGAGGGCCCTTTCCATTAAATCAGCCTACCTTTTGGCCTTGGCCTTAAGGGCGGCTCGCGTGTCTCTCCTCCCTGCTTCGGCAATTTCCGCGTTGCCCCGGTAATCGACACATGGGAGGCTATTGGTGCGAAGCTTAAAGGGGGTGAACCCTGTGGATTAGTGGGGGGTGTCCCGGTGAATTCCGACGATTTGGTATACGATCTCGGGCCACGGACGCGTGTCATGCGCCGCTAGATTTCTACGAAGGGCAGTCTTAATCATGCGATTGGCATTTTCGGCCAACCCATTCGACTGGGAAACGTGGGGTGCCATGTGTCGAAGTGTAATACCTCGGCGCGCTAGCAATTCCTCTACCTCGCCTTTGAATTTGGACCCATAGTTGGTTAGAATCTCTTCCGTATCTAGGTGGGTATAGAGGAACCGATCGATGTACGTGGCTATCTCTGCGGCCTTACGGGTTTTGCAGGGGTAGACCTCGATGTATTTGGAAAAATGGTCTATTAAAACTAAAAGGATGGAATATTCGCAACGGTTTGGGCCAGGTGGCACGTCGATATCTGTCGTCTCCATACTGACTCGCTAGAAAGGGCGCTCTACTTCCGTCGGTACTATCGTGTTTGGTCCTCGTATTGGGGCACGGTCGGCGGCACAGACTAGACAGTTGGCAACTACGTATTTGACATCGTCCCGTATATTAGACAAGAACCATCGATTCTGATCTACAGTTGCCTTCGTGACACGTATTGCGAAGTGAGCGGCCTGCTCTTCGTGAGCAGATCGGGTCCAATCATATCTCTGGAATGGATGGGGAACCGTCAACCACAAACCCGATCCGTCAGTTTTACGCTTTTCTAGTTGACCGTTGATCCATTGGTAATCCCGGGATCTCTCGGTAGCCCGACGTCTGTCGTGCTTACTAAGATGATCCAATGGTAAACCAGCCAATTTAGCTAATAGAATTTTATCCGTCCAGACCTCCGCTCGTCGGTATTTCTCGTCATATTCAGGGTCGTCCGTCCGGGCAGCCTCGAATCGAACCTCGGTAGGGAGTTTGTCCGTTCTACACAGAGGGCACTTCCATTCCCTACTATTCGTTCGGTGTCGAACGCATGCACTGTGTGCATGATTGATACACGTGGCACAGTTCACCCACTCAACGAATTCGGTCACAAAAGGATGACAATCCACCCCATAAACCCGTGTAGTACACGTACAAAAATAGCAGAATTTATCGGGAAGGGTGACGAAGAAGGCCGAGGAAGCGAGGGGGGCGGAATCAGCAAGAGAAGAAGGGGTCGCAGAGACAGGCGGGGTAGTCATGATGAGAGGGG